TTTTCTTTTTCTTTTTCCTAGTTTAATTAAACCTTTTCCTGTTTTTGTTCTGTGTGAACCCCTTTTTTTTTAATAAAAAAATTGCATTTCGTTCCTAAAGGCTAAAGCATCGAGATGGACTTAATGTGTACCCTTTGTATACCCAATCCCCACGTCTGAAATTAGAAAAATAGCATAATTATTAAGTAAGCAAATTCCGCACATAAAATATGTTTGAGTGAGAGGGGTTTGTGTTTGACACAAGTCTACCACAGATAACACTCGTCTGGCAAAAGTGTCCATGCTTCCTAGCTTTGAAATTTTGGTTGAGCGACTTCAGAAACCTGAACCTATAGATGAAAGCATTATAGCAATGAATCTGCTAAATCTGGTGTCTGATGACTCTTTTTTTGATGGATTTGATGTGGTGTCTATAATTGAGAAAGATACTGGGTCCTGCTAGGGGTATTAGGACCAACCATGGGCCGGAGGCAAGTGAATGCATGCTTGAGCAACCTATTCTGTTACCTGCCAGCTGTCAAGATCAATGACATAACTGCAATGCTCTCTTTCCAATAATCATGATATTATTCCTTTTCTGAATGTGGGTTCATACCAACTCGAACCTTGATCTTGAAAATGGAATTTACTACACAATTCCACCCAGACAAGAAAAGCTAGTAATATCAAGATATTCTTCTGGAAAGTTGTTTTTAATAATGTGTTGATTTCCATATTAATGCATATTATGATTATAAAAAAAAATAAAAAATAAAAAAAATGTGATTCCTTGGATGTCCCTAGAAGTGTCTATGCACACACGTCTCTCGCTTCTTGCTCTATTTATTCTTTAACATGATGTATTACCGAATTTGCATCAGCATCCTAGTTTGACTATTCGGTGCTATTTATGACCAGTATCATTTCTAATTCTCTATGTAGGCTGATCAGTCGGGAACAATAGTTGAGATCCTTGCAGAAGATGGCAAGCCTGTCAGTGTTGACACCGTGAGTTCTCTTCAACTAATCACTGTTGACTAATTTCGCAAGTGCCTCTGTTTTTTCCTCTTCCTAATTATGTGTTCTTACATGACTTTTTATTGTCTACAGCCTCTCTTTGTCATCAAACCATAGAGCAGAATGGAGTGAAAAGCGGTACTTAGAAATTTGTTTGTCTCAGAATTGTTTTGAGACCAGCATTAAACGTTTACTCGCAGGTACCGGTGCTTTTGCATGGATGAGAATTTAGTTAAAAATCGAATTGTACTCGCTTTGAATAATTTGCTTTCTATTGTTGTCTTAGAGTTATTTGTCTCTTCAAATTATCTTGTGTGGATAAGACTGCTGTATTTTTATTATGAATTATTCTAGTTGTACAATCCCGGTTGACAATGAATTCACAAGAGGAGGGACTCATGATTTTTTTATTCAATGTGCCTCTCATGTGTGTGATTGTCAACCGGGATTGTCAATCCCGTTTGTTCATGTAGTATAACTGTTTTATTATTATGGTTATCTTACTTTCTATATGAGGATTTGGTTCCAATTTTGTAAGGTGAAAATTCAATGCACTATGTAATTAATGTTCAGTTTTGTAACAATTCATTTCTTTCAATTGCTATAATGTATTGTGTTAGTGCTTCATTTAACTTAAAGTGCCTCTCAAGTAAGTAGGGGTGGGCATGGATTGGGTTGGGTTAGTTTTTTCCCCAACCCAACATGGTCAGTTTTATATAAAGTCAACTCA